TATCTATCTATCTATCTATCTATCTATCTATCTATCTATCTATCTATCTATCTATCTATCTATCTATCTATCTATCTATCTATCTATCTATCTATCTCTATCTATATCTATCTATATCTATCTATATCTATCTATGTCTATCTATATCTATCTATATCTATCTATCTGTTCGTCCGTCCGTTATCTGCCCATCTATCCAATATATCTGTTTGTCTACGGCTCTACAGCCCTTGTGTACGTTGGCAGCTTTTTCATATGCTATACGCAGTCGGTAGGACTCCTTGGTCGGGGGATCAGCCTGTTGCAAGGCCGTTACCTACACACAGAACAACACAAACACAGAATAAAGGCACACAGATATCCATGCCTCGAGTGGGATTCAAAACCACGATCCCAGTGTTTGAACGGACGAAAACGGTGCATACCTTAGACCGCGCGGTCACTGTGATCTGTAATCACGATCTTAACTCCCAACCTAACGTTTTTAGAACCACACTTGACGCTATTAGAGTCGAAACAAATTGAACCCAGTCTAACCTAAACTAATCTGACGTGACGTAACTCAGTGCGACAGTGGAGAAAAGCGTAAAAGAAAGGAGAGGATATTATAGCATAAGGTTGAGAGAGGATCACATAAAATGAAGTGAAATTATTAAATAGGAACGGAAAGCGCAGTAAAGTGACCTAAAAAAATCAAATATTGATGGAAAATTAGAGACAATTTTTGTTCGATGTTGGTATCACTGAACATTATTGCTGCAATTTAAAAGTCATGATAGAATTTCTCGATTCTTAGGAACAGACAAATTCCAATTAAATATTTATATGTCTACTTTTCAATCAAGAAGTTAGAATGCATGCATGCCAAATCAAGTCTGTCGTGTTCCCTTCGCTTCTACTCCAAGATTTTCAACTCAGGAATAATAAAGGACCATAAGGCTTACCGAAAAGTGTGCTGGGTATAAGTTTTGTGTTATTTTTTCTGTAGAAGTTTTATTCGGTACATTTTTCCTTCGAATAAGAATTGCCACGTGTAGGATGTGACTATAGACGGGGTTTGGATTTGTAATCGGGTTTATTGACCACTCTAACAAACAACTCATGACTGAACTTTACAAATCACTATATTCTCAGTATGTTGTGGTCTCCACTAGCTGTTGCGTGGTAACGGCTTACAATGGCGGGCGTTCCCCTTACTCTAGGTCCTCTAGGTTTCCGAACTCTTTCCGTGCCTCTGCTACTAGCGTCTATGAGCAACGGCTCACAACGACTGAACTGCAGCAGCCTTCTCACTGATAGCTCACCAACCAACTCACTTCACTGAGTGAAGTGAGTGCACTCCACCGTACTCCACTGCATTGCACTCACCAACCGAACTGAACTCGGCCGGTCGAGTCATGTAGCCTCGGAGCGAACCCACATTTAACGCCACTTTCAGCAATTCTTGTATCGACGTCATCGCGTACTTGACGCGTTCCTCTGTTGCCTGTATACGGGCCGTTACCTGACAACGGTTCTACATTCTACAGTATTTAGCCAGTTACGCTCGAGGTGCTTAGAACTGAACGTAGGTCCATAAGTAAAGCGTCCGTTATTATTTTTCCTGATTTTGACCATGATTGAAATGTTTCGACACAGCCTTGTCAAACATTCCAAAGAAAATCCCTTAGGTGTAGTTTGTTACATGCGGAGAGACAGACAGATAAACAGAAATAACGAATATATTGGGCGCATTTTTGCAAATCTTCAATGCAGACTCGCCATGGAAGGAAGAACTGTAAGTGGAAATGCCCAGGATACACGTGTGTTCCGTGTGTGTTCTTCATTTTCATTGATTATTTAAAATTATTGTAGTTACATATCTATTTGTGACAGGTTAATTGCAATACAAATACTGCACAAAGCCGAAAAGATTTTTTATTATAGTTTATTAAATATTCACTATATCTACAATTTTTTAAATACAATCTGTAGTTCTGAATGCGATCTGTATTCTATTATCATGCGTTAAGTGATTATAGACGGGGTTTGGATAGATGATCGGATTTATTTGACTCTTAGAGAGCGCAAGTACAAGTAACTCTAGTGCTATCGCTAATTCTCACATTCCACAATTCACTACAGCACGCACTAATTCTTCTTAGTCTGCTGTATCTTCGCCGGTTGTTGCCTGGTAACACTCCAACGCCAGTAGAAACCTCAGTTTTCGTGTTCCATGGCTTCTGTCCTCGCTAGCTGGCGCCTACCTCACAATTAACTCGGCGTTACTACGCAACAGTTTACAACAATGGAGGTTTCTCAGCCACCCATGCCTCCGCCAGGAGCGACTGTCTGCTACAAACTCGACGTGTCTGTCTCCCAGCTGTCAACTTGAGACACAACGACTCTAGACTAACTTAGTTCGCTCGGTCGGTCGGTCTGTTAAATTGCTGTTGGCCTTCGCCAACACAGTCATTCCTGGATTCAGTCTCCTCGAGACCCATGACCAAGATTTTTGTTATTTCCTAAAAATGTGCATGTTTATAAATGAGGCCTCCTCTTTGACGAGGCGCTAAGTGTGTTGCACTGTAGTTTCAGCACGAGTATATTCGCTCTGTCACGGCGTCCAGGTCAGTATGGACTCTGTCCAGCCTTTGCCATTGCACTGTACTATGTAACGTATATACAACATATACAGAGGCTTTCTGTCAATGCAGGTTTGTGCAGCAAGTTATGCCTTAACTCATACAGCTACTCTGAAACTGCAGTTAGCAAAAAGAAGTCAACGTTACTTTACGGCTAGCCGTTTACCGACAGTCAGTTAGTTCTGGCGTCAAGCTCCTTGACACTCACGACCAAATATTTCTTTCCAATTGGACCCTTGCGGTCATAGCCCTTTTGTAACATCCTTTCTGACGGGAAGATGGGGTTGGCTCTTATGTACGTGCTTGACATATAGTCAAGTGTACGTATCTTACATGTTATTAAAAATTTCCCCTTTTCACTATAAACAAGTCCTCTGTCAATTCAGGCTTCGCAAAGATCATGCTATCTTGCGTATCTTATGCTACGACTACAGCTTAGTCATTTGAAAGGTCGTAAGCTTGACCACAGCCAAGTTTAAGCTTCTTATATTTTCTGTGTCTGGCTTCACCTTGTGAACTTGTTCATTCTCATGACTTTGTAGGGCTTCTGTGTGTTTCCTGGACAATTTCGTTACAAATTCGTATACATATGGAAGTTTGAAAGCCGTGTACAAGTCACGAACCGATGTGCATCTTGGAAAATTTCCAGTGGTGTGGAGAACCTTGTTTTGTAGGCTTTGTAATTTTTAGGAGTAGGTGTCTGCCTATAATTCCCAGGCGGCGCAAGCATACGTCATTACTGATCTGATCAGTGATTATGGAGGGTTAGTTTAATGTCGGCACTTAAACGCTCACTTCTGAATAGGGAGTAGATTCTAATAAATGTTTTGAAGGCCTTGGCTTCAATAATTTCTATGTGGAGTCTCCATGTAATCGTCTTATGGGAGATTACACCCAGATATTTTACATGATTGACGGAGGTGATATTCCGTTCTATAAATAAAATATGAGCCCCAGGAGACCTAAATCTATGTGAAATGTAGATGGTCTAAGTCTTCTCGTCACTTCGTCATTAATTTTTGTGTTTCGGCACTCACACCCCGTCTTAGTAGCACCAAGAAGTCGCTGCAGCTGAGAACATAACCCTCTTGCGGTCTGTCCCATATACTCGTATGTACGTAGATGTAATCATCAAAGGAACCTTGATAGACACCAGTTGATTGGTACATGTCATTTATATATACAAGTATTGTACAAGGGTTGGGAACAGGCCGGAACTTTGTGGCACCCCTGCTTGTGTCACCTTCGATAGAATCTCTTAATTTTCTCTGAGAAACGAAAGAACTAATAAGCTTGAGTAGACTGGTCGAAAAATTAATTTACATAATTAATATGGCAAGCCAAGGTGCCATGTTATATCAAAGCCATTTTTTCAATATCCAAGAATACAGCAGCCGTGGACATTTTATTGTCGAAATTTAAGGTCATGTGATCCGTAAGCAAGTGCCTTTAACTTCCGAGAATAGCCCCAGAGTCGGTCTGGATGATTTGGAGAAGAGAAAATTCTTGACCCTACCGGGACTCGCACTCCAACCCCTCAGTCGTCCAGCCCGTAGCCAGTCGCTATACCGACTGCGCGATCCCGGGTCTATTGGCAAGTATGTACCAAAATTAATTTGATTGACAGCTTCAGTAGGGACACCCCAGTACCAAATATAACGGACATGCATTCAGTAGCAGGGCCCGGATTTTGATGACATGTCGTCTTTTTTCTTTATGTAGTAAACGTTGCTTTTAAGTACTAAAGCCCCGATTATGAACCTCTGGTTATAAAAATGTGAATTTTATTGTGCATTTTTGTAATATTTTGTATGTTTTAAGTTTTCGGCCATTTTTACAAGTTTTTACGTCATTTTTCGGCATTTTTTCACGTTTTACATCAATTTTGGTTATCTTTCACGTTGTTTTAATAATTGACATTTATTGATCAAACTGAAGATATTTGTTTCGTGAGGTAGAAATCTATGTTCTTCAAGTAAATTTTGTTTTGTATCTCTAGCCTCTGTCGCTAAATATAGTAGATTTGTTTGCGAGAGGGCACATTATTTTTCTTTCTAAGCCGCCAGAGATGCCGTTACTGTCCCGCGCCGCTTTCTAAGATACCGCTATGTCATAAACTCATAAAATTGATGCCTGAGAAATGCAGAGGGGTAGGTTTAAACAGATGACCGGGTGTCATAAAATCAAGACATTGGAAACTAATTTACACAGTCCGCATCTACCTGATTTTAAGAAAAATAGGTCTTTTTTTTAATTTTTAGGTCATTTTTTAAATATTTTTTGGTCATTTTATAGATCATTTTTCAGATATTTTTAGGTCATGAAAATCCGGGCCCTGTTCAGTAGTATCGGAAGGGCGATATGAGAACTGCTTACCGCCAGTTTCTGCTTGATGCGTACAGTTGTGACCTGACCGCTGCAACTGAGCTGCTGGATGAGGCTGATGGCCGTCTTCTCGTCCATACAGCCAGATTCGTCTGTTTCGGCTTGCTCGAACATCTCTTGCAACCATCGCTCCCGCAACGCCTCTTTCTCCTCCAGACCGTCTGGAGCTGTAACACTCAACATGTTCACGAACTAGAAGAAAAATATTTCTCATGCGAAATTTAAGGTTCCTGCCGCAGTCAGTATAGTGTTGAGGAGAATATTGGGATGAAGTGACAGGAGGTTGGAGAAAACTGCGTAATGAGGAGCTTCATAACTTGTACTCTTCTCCAAGTATAATTAGAATGATCAAGTCAAGAAGAATGAGATGGGCAGGGTATGTAGCACGAATTTTGGAGAGGAGGAATGCATATAGGATACTGGTGAGAAAGCCAGAAGGAAAGAGATCACTGGGAAGACCAAGGCGTAGGTGGATGGACAATATTAAAATGGATCTTAAAGAGATAGGATAGGATGGGATGGATTGGATTGATCTGGCTCAGGATAGGGACCAGTGGAGGATTCCTATGGACACGGTAATGAACTTTCGGGTTCCATAAAATGCTGGGAAATTCTTGAATAGCTGCAGATTTGGCTTCTCCTCAAGAATGGCTCAGCTCCATAAGTAAGTAAGTAAGTAAGTATTTTTTTATTGCTAGTGGGGTGGAATTAAGTCCCTTGTACTGCGGCCACTTCTGGCCTACTGTACCAGCCCCAGATGATAGGTGAGGGTGATTGTGGAGCAGTTGGTGGAATGAAGATTGGCAGGGGAAACCGAAGTACTCGGAGAAAATCTGCCCCAGGGCCAGTTTGTCCACCACAAATCCCACTTGACCAGACCTCAGGATCGAACCCGGACGGCAACGGTGAAAAGCCAGCGACTAGCCGCTTGAGCTATGGCGCTACCAAGTAAGTAAGTAAGCGCCAGTCAATATCCTGTGTACTTTTGTCTGCCGATCGCACCACGTCTAAACAGTAAACATTACTAGCAACTTGGTGGAACGTACTGGTCTTCGACACACAGGGCAGAAGTAAAGGGTCTCTGGAACGTCAGTAACTTTCACCATTCTGATACTCTGCAATACCCGGACGGCTGTAAAATAAAGAGAAGTGTTAATTTCGACGAGATTAAAATTTGCAAACAGAAGCACGATTGACCTATCCATGAGTTATGTAGCGATGTTCTATCAAGTATAGGGATTATGCTTGAGTGAGTGACCACAGGGTTTTCTGTATGCGGTAGGGACATTGATTATCCCTTCGCTGCTACGTTCAGATCAGCTCTGGTGTTCACCCGGACACAACAGACACGGCGATCTCTTTCTTTGAATATAAACTGGCCAAAGCGTGAAACTGATCTCCATCTAGAGCCTAGGTTTGGAATACATGGAGCTAGCTTATCCCTAAGTCACAGAGACATATTTGCCCTTAGCTTACATGATTTGGTTAAGAGTAGTTTTCCTTTCAGGGACTAGAATTATACAGTATAATAGTAGAAAATATACTTAAAGATAATTCAATGAGTTGCGTAAAGTAGACAAAGTTATCCCTGTGCTTAATTAATTAAGCGCCATGAAATTGTGTTGGGAAGTGAAGTTATAAATGTTGATATATATTCTGTCTTTTGAAACCTTCAAAGTTCGATGTTAGTTTTTCGGTCACTCGAGACAATATGTTACTAACGGGGCATTAAAATATAGAGAAGAAGAATTTTTGGACTACGGTTACATTCATTTGAATTGCTTAGCTGCATCTGGTATCCGAATGGGCATACGGGACAATGGTAAGTTCCATATTTCGTACTCAGGAAACAGAAAGCGAATTTTACCTAAACTCTTTTACGTGAATGAGCGGGAAGGTGAGGGCTCTATTTTGGAACCCATAAGTAGATGAATGACAGTATTGATTGGAACTGATGATAAGTACAGTGAAGTGTCGGGCTGTGCGAGGGGATATAGGAGAGCTCTTTCGAAAACAAGTCTTCGAGAAGCAGACCTCAGGGCAACATTTTGAAAAATCAAGCCCATCACAGCCAAGTTATAAGAATGCTTCCTGTTTATTCATAGCTGGCGTTGTTTATAAATGAGCTCATTGATGTAGAAATAAACTTAGAAATGCTCGCTCGACATTCCAACATCACGGGGTCTTGGTACGTAATGTACGTAAATCGACTCAGAACTAGCGTCCATTTGTCTATATCCGTCTAAATTGCAACACTTTTTTTCACTTCAATATATTCTTTAACACTTAATAATAATAACAAATAAAAAACAACAATAATATAGGAATTTATAAATTACAGATAAGTAACGTGAGGAACAAGTTGCAGGGGAAAATATTTTAATATATTTTACGGAAGTGACGTCACCCTGAGTGAAGTGAAACAACAAATTATAAAAGAATTTTATTTCGTTTTAATTGAAGGACTGCAGCGTGTGGTTTTTAAAATGAATTGGGACAGCGAAACAGTGTAGCAGTTTTAACAAGGTCTTGATTGAATATCTGTAATAAAACACCTGAAGATGGCCCTTTGAGGCCGAAACATGTAGTGTTAAGTGTTAAAGAATATATTGAAATGTAAAACAAGTGTTGCAATTGAGACGGATATAGACAAATGGACGCTGGGTCCACTCTGCACGGCGGCCACTGATTGGCCTATTGTAGCCCACCACGGGTGATTATGATGATGGAGAATTTGGTGGAATGAAGATTGGCAGGGGAAGTACTCGGAGAAAACCCGCTCCAGCGCCACTTTCTCCACGACAAATCCCACTTTACCCGGGATTTAACCCGGGCCGCCGCGGTGGGAAGCCAGCGACTAACCGCTTGAGCTATGGCGCGGCCTCATCTGCTGTAATATGTTCGTAAGGCTGAAAATTTCCTTTCAATTCTTTAAATTTAGATGAATCAGTGAAACCGATGGAGTCCCAGGCAACAGAAACTTTTTCAAGTTTCGAGCGGACTACAGTGTAGTACAATACCGTAAACAGTAGGAAAGGATAATGTAACAGGTAACGAATAAGGTAAAATTGTCCCCGTGTTTAAATAATGAAGCATTACGCCATGAAGTCTTATGGGGAAGTGGATGTATAGATCTACATTTACTTGACCTCGGGACTAGCTGGAGGTGAGTGGTTAGCTTCACGCCCCTGCCGCTTTACCCCTGGGGAAAGAGCCCGGTGCCCATTAGAGAAGAGGCTGGGTGGACCCCAGAGCCGGTATAGACGATGTGAATAAGAGAAAATTCTTGACTTTACCGATACCCGAAATCCGACCTCTCGGTCGTCCAGCCCGTAGCCAGACGCTAGACCGACTGAGCTATCCCGGCTCACAAAGAACCGATCCTAATATTTTTAAGAAACATGTAATTTACGTGACTCTGAAAGTACATAACAATGATGCAGGCATAGATAATGTGGGATCTATATTAGATAAAGTGACACCGGGGGAGGCTTTTCTCCGGATTTTTTTGGGGGGTGGTTCATTCTGCGTCTCATCATATGAAAAACCCTCCATACCCAACTATCTTTTACCCCCGAAGTGTGAGAGAGGCCCGACCGGGCGGCACCTTGTACGACCTGCATACTCAGGAACACGCTTCTCATCCGACAATTGGCTGCGCTCTGAATAAAGAAGGTAACTCAAAGTGAATCGATGTCTCGAGAAATGGTTTCCTGAATCTAGGGGATACAAGATACTCTGGCTATTGACGCAGAAACGTCAGACTATGTTTAGATATAGGACAATGTGCCCCACAACTAAGACAACTAACTGAATAATCTTAGTTTGTCTACGTTTTCAGCTGAACAAATTCCTTGCCTTTATAAAATACATAAATTATTTTCCGTGTATATAAAAGTCTTCTATCTACCTTAATCTGAGCCATACGAATCCAGTTCAAAACCTCAACTCTATTTCTCTAAGACGTATTTTAATATTGTACTTCCATCTAGCCCTATCTCTTGCACCTGAATTATTCTCTTAGGTTTCCGGAAAGAAGTTTGTATGCACCTCTCATTAATCCCATATCCAACCAATTCCGTCAAACGCAATTTAGTCATCTTAATAATATCAGAACAAAAAGTATAAATTATGAGCCACCGATTAAGTATTTTGCTTCGTCTTCCATTCTCTTTCTTCGCAGAACCCTCAATAAATGCCCAGTCTTCTTCCCTAAGACGGATAGACAAAATTTCACGTCCTTGCCACATATGATATTACAGTTTGCTGTAAATTACTCCCCTGATTTCGGAGAAGATATTTCAGTAATATAAACGGTAGATACTTACATTTGTGGGCGCCGACGAGAGCGTTCAGACCGGTTACCCAGATGTTAGCTTCTTCAGGAGTGGATGCCACCAAGTCCAGAGACTCAAAATCATCACCATAGAGTATAGAAAACGCACAATCTTCTGTGTGACCAGAAGACAGAACTCGAGTACGAAGAACTTCTGTGTTTTTTCCTACACGAATTTCTTTGATGCTCTCAATTGGCACTGTTAAAAAAAGAAGAAAAATATTTTCTCTCGGTGATAACAGTCTGCACAAGAAAATCAACGGCATTGAATAGTGAACATTGTACTCCAGTGTTGTTTAGATTACACGTATTTCTCAATTGAATCCCTTGCGATTTTACGTAATATATTATTACTGGTGAAGCGCCTCTGTGGTCTACTGGTCAGAGTTCCTGGTTACAGATCCAGAGGTCCCGGGTTCGTTTCCCGGCGCTACCAGATTTTCTGAGAAGTAGTGAGTCTGGAACGATGTCCACTCAGCCTCGTGAGGATAATTGAGGAGCTATTTCAAGGAAATAACTGCTCCGGTCTAGAAAATCGAGATTAATGGTCGTGGGAATCCGTTGCGCTGACCACGCGACACCCTCTACGATCGTATTTGGCACTAACCTCGCCGACAAGCGACGGTCGCTCAGTCAGTATAGTTCGCTTGCGGACTAAAGGCCGCGGTGTTGTTTTATTATTACTGGCGACGTATTGCATTTCAGGCGCATCCGTTACAAAGCTGGTGCGCGGTACATAAACAGAAGGGCATGTTACATTGCACGGAGAACTCAGTCTTATCCACCTATTAAACATGAACCGAAAATGTCGAGATGGTATGCTCTGCGTTTTATGGAACCCACATTTTATATCACAAAAAACAATTTTTGATCTGACGATCTGGTAACGGGTTGCCTGCTGGACGGCCGGCAGTTCAAGAGTTTTTCTTCTTCTCAGCTTTGAATTACATTTGCCCTTAGGAAAATTGATAAATTTTATCTAAGAGTTAGAGAAGCAGCTTAAATATTTATGACGTGATAAATCAACTGAAAAATCTTCCTAGTATATAAACTCTGAAAAGTTTACGACGTTTGAGACTTCAGCAAAATGGAGGGTTTTCAGTCTGTATTGACAACAGTTGTCTTTTCAAGTACTACCGATCCTCCATTTCTTAGAACTTTGTATCGAACGTTGCTGTCGAGTGAACCCCCTACTTTGCGTTAAGGGAGTTAAAATATAAGTCTCAGCCTGCAGATTGGCTCTCCTAAATGAGGTTTTCTCTAATTTTTCTCAATATTTTCATTCAGGTTCCCAGACTGTGTTTAAAATTATGTCACGGTCGCTTCCTTACTGTACTTGACTATTCAACTTACACTACAAAATCTCTAATTCGATGGTACATAATCTGAGCTACAAATAAAAATACAAACTCCGTGGCCTGTAGTCCGCAAGCGAACTGTATCGACCGTTGCGCTGGCGAGAGCCAGCAGCATATACAAAAGACAGACCCGTCCTCTCGTCAGAGAAGGTGCCCCACAGAAACAAGACCGTAACTGTCAAACGATAATAATTAATATCTGGTCATGAGCCCCAAATGGGGCTTGACATCAAGACTTACTGACTGACTGACTGACCGTCAGTCGCAATATAACCCTGACCCTAACCCTATATCGACCTAGCGACCGCCGCTTGTCGGCGAAGTTAGTGCCAACTTTTGCGGATAGATGTTGTCACATGGTCAGCACAACGGATCACCACGGCCATAAATCTCGATTTTCTAGACCGGAGCCGCTATTTCCTTGAAATAGCTCCTCAATTATTCTCACGAGGCTGAGTGAACCCCGTTCCAGACCCACTACTTCTCAGAAAATTTTGTAGCGCCTGGAATCGAAGCCGGGACTTCTGGATTTGTAATCAGGAACTCTGTCCACTTGACCACAGAGACGGTAAATCTGAGATGGTTTGGAAGATTAAGATGGTGTGGAAAGCAAGGAAGTTGAAACCTACATCGGTAGCGGGAGACGTTGTTTCGGCAAAACTGTCTATTCAACGAGAGAAAAAAAAAGTACCATAAGTTACAAGGGCATTTACTGATATAGCATTAAGCATAAATTTGATTGCGCTACCAGACTTTTAAACTTGTCTCCATTTCATTTATTCGGATATGCATAATTTTTCTCCGTAGTTCACTTAGTATCGAAGCTTTCAACAATGGATATTCATTTACTTGGAAGCACCCGGTGGGAGCTGGTTTGCTATTTATGGAAACTTCGTACCACGTGACCTACTTGCAGAGACCTCTGCGAACGTGACATGTGTTTCCTAGTGTACTTATTTCCCTATAGACGGCAGGAGCGCAGTGTAATTTTGATCAACCAATCACAGGCGAGTTTCTTGAAGGTTTTAGAGGCTGACACTCTTTGATAACTTAGTCGTAACATAATTGATACATTTGTGAATGTGACAATTTCTGCACTTACTCTGTAAAAAGGCTTGAATTTATGCTACATCTGCTCTGGAACAGGGGGCCCTTCATTATTTAGACGTAGAGAGTTACGTCATCTTTATAAAATTACTAATTTATCTTTTCAGCACATTTCTGTTATTGATGTGCAGGTGGGAAATTACATTGCTACCGCAAGGTTGCCTACACAAGGTACAACGAGCCCTAGTTCAGACACGTCGGTTTCGCTTTATTCTATACATAAAGAATATAACTGTAATTGATGACAGAAAGGAGATTGGTGTAGATGTAAAAGCAGAGAAAACTAAGTATATGTTGCTGTTTTGTCATCAGAATGAAGAGCAAAGTCATAACATAAAGATAGCGAACATATCCTGCGAAAATATGGCAAAGTTCATACATCTGTGAATGACAGTAAGAAATGACAATTTGATTCATGAGGAAATTAAGAGGAGACTGAATTCAGATAATTCTTGCTACAATTCAGCCCAGAATCTTTTGTCTAAAAACGTAAAAATAAAAATATAAGAAGGTATTATTTTGCGTGTGGTTTCGTATGGGCGAGTAACTTGTCTCTAATACATAGGAACATAGACTGAGGGTGTTTGAGAGCAGAGTGTTCAGAATAATTGAACCGAAGAGAGATGAAGTGACAGGAGGTTGGAGAAAACTACATAATGAGAAACTTCATAACTTGTAATATTCTCCAAGCATAATTAGAATCACAGAGGTCAAGGAAGATGAGATGGGCAGGCCATGCAGCACAAATGGGAAGAGAAATGCATATAGGATATTGGTGCGAAAGCGAGTAGGAATAAAAATCACTAGGAAGACCAGGGCGTAGGTGGGTGGACAATATTAAAATGGATCTTAGAGAGATAGGATGGGATAGTACGGATTGGATTGGTCTAGTTGAAGATAGGGACTGCTGGAGGGCTCTTGTGAACACGGTAATGAATCTTCGGGTTCCATAGAATGATGGGAAATTCTTGAGTAGCTGCACAACTGGCGGCTTCTCAAGAAGGGCTCAGCTCCATGGAGTTAGTTTAGTTACCTAATGAATGTAATTTAACGTGAAGAAGATCGATAAGTTCCAAAAGTTTGTAGAGCAAGATGATGGGTGTAACTGGTTGCAGCTGTTTACAGGGGATGTGTGGACGGCATACACACATCTGCTGCAAGCACAACAGCTGATCGCAATAGCCGTGCGGTGTAAGGCATAAACCGTCTTCGCCCGCTTGAACACTGTGATTGTAAGTTCGAATCCCACTCGAGGCATGGATGACTGTTTGCGTTTATTCTGTGTTTGTGTTGCTCTGTGTGTAGGTAGCGGCCGTGCGACTGGCTGATCCCCCGTCCAAGGTGTGCTACAGACTATCAGATTAAGAAACTAAAAATAGCGGCCAAGGTCCAGAGGGCTGTAGAGCCATAGATATAGGCACAACAGGAGCCCCAAGCACAGTAGCTGGTATAATGCTTTGCATTGTATTTGCTGTGGGAAGCGATTAGTGAAGGGAACTTGTCCCGCCGTCTTTAACAGTTAAAAAGCAAATCAATTTTAACTTTCCAAAAACAAATATAGCAAAAGAATTTTTCTTCCACCAGAGAGTAACCTGAAAGAGGCTAATGACTTCCGCTAAAATTCCATGTGGATATGAATGAATGTATAAAGGGTGGGCCTTCTCGGCCCTTGCACCGCGACCAACAGTGATCTATTGTGCTTCCCCTTTTGATTATCCTCTCAGCAATCCTACGCTTCGAATGAAGCGCAGGATTTTGTACATGGGAGCGTCGAAATAGTCACTTGGTTCCATAAAGTATTGACCCAAGTGACGTAATCATAAATAAACTAAGGCCTCACATTCACACAGGACGTGTGTGACTGTTTCATTTTCTTCTTTGCACCTCTCACAACTGGGAATATCACTTAGTCCCAGTTTGAAGAGGTGTCCTTTAGGTTGACAGTGTCCTGTAAATAGTCCTACCACCCATTGTAGCTGGTTCCTGTTTAACTTCAACAGTTCCTTCGCTCTTTTAGCTGAGGGTCCTCGTATGAGTCCTTTTACTTGCCTGAGTCCGGTCAAGGATCCCCAGTATTTCTTGTGATTCATATTTGTCCAGTCCCTGATTGCCTGTCTGGCAACTCCTATAGAGATGCCACAGGTTCCTTGTGGATATATATATATATATATTGCTATAAGCGTTAGGACAGTATGGCAACTTCCCTGGCGTAACAGTATACATGTTCTGTTCAGGCGTATTTTAAAATTATGAAGGTTGTAGTTAGAAAAGGCAATTTTTAGGGTAGAAATACTCGTACATGTTCCAAATACACGGTACTTCTTTGCTTTACAGACCCTGAGATTGGAACTCCCTAGATGCTTAGAACACCCACATGATAATGCTGTTTAAAACTGAAGGAGGACATAGCACACTTTTGCTAGAAAACCAACAGAAAGCGGCTTGATTCTATAGTGATATATATTTCCACTTCTAGACCCGTGACTAGGCGACGACCACAAGATAGGCGACTATACAGAGGCCGTTGTTAGGCAGCGGCCCTCAGATAACAGAGGAACTGTGTTTTCTGCTCGGTCCGCTAAGCAACAATTAAACAGCAATACAGAAACTGTGTTTTCTGTACGATCAGTTCCGAGATGTTATGAAAAGGACAATGACGACAATAAATTTGTTGTGGGTCAGTCGCCAGCCTATAAGAACTTGAGCACGGATGCAGAAGACATTGTTACGATCC